TTTCTGACTTCTTCCCATAATGCAGCAGGTCAGACTGGGGCTCTGATCCTCAGTTGAGTTTTGAATAATCACCACAGCCAGATATGGCCAAGGGATACAGGGAGACACACAGTACAGATTCTAAGAGCTTGCCTGTCCACTTCAGACTACATTATTCACAGAGCTCAGAGGACAACATGGCCAGCAAAAAAGCGGTGCCATCTTATGTTAAACAAACCCTGCTAGACTGCTGGGAGAACAATGCAAGGCTTCGGGCCTCCACCTCACCACTCCATTCACACAGAACAGCAAGAATTAGTTGCCTCAAATACCACTCTGAGCATGTCTCTCCCAGGTTCCAGAACCTACAATGGCTCTCCATTGAGATGAATCCTCTTTGTATATAAAGCGCACTGTCTATAGGACCTCAATACATCTTTGTTGACTGACTGATTAATTGAAATTCAAACTCTGCAGCATAAATCACAGTCTGTCAGCCCATCAGCTCACCACCCTCACTTTCCCACATCCCTCATCAAGACCACACTTGGTCATCCATCCCCACCTTGAAACCAACACACCTAAATGCTTTCTACAACAGGTATTTGGTACCCGCTCAAAACTCAGCTTTGCACAGAAAGGAGATTCGTGGCTGCCTCGGGCAGGGCGGGCATGGGGGATAGGAGGATTGAGGTGACATATGGGGGTACAAGTTTCTTTTCGAGGTCATGAAAACGTTTTAAAATTGACTTGTTAGTTACATTTATCTGTAAACATACTAAAAATCACTGAATTATACATTTTAAAAATGAGTGAACTGTATGGTATGTAAATTATATCTCAATAAAGCTGCTAAAAAAAACCTCTCTCTGGACTCATCTCCTCCAGGAAATGTTCCCTGATTTATGAATAAGGAGAACTGCATTCCAAACAGTAGAGAAAAAGGAATCATTCAGGGGCCAGCCAGGTGGTGTAGGGGTTGAGTTCGTGCGCTCCACCTCAGTAGCCCGGGCTCGCAGGTGTGGATCCTGGGCACAGACCTACACACCGCTCATCAAGCCATGCTGCAGCAGGCGTCCCACATATAAAGTAGAAGAAGATGGGCACGGATGTTAGCTCAGGGCCAGTCCTCCTCAGCAAAAACAGGATGACTGGCAGCGTATGTTAGCTCAGGGCTAATCTTTCTCAAAAAAAAAAAAAAAAAAAAAGGAATCATTCATTCACTCATTATTTATTCATCAACAAACATCTACGGGTCATCATGAAAAATCAGGCACAGGGCTAGACAGCGAAGATACAAAGAGGAACCCGAAAGGATCGGACTGGGAGTATTTCTGTACTGTACCCCAAGGTCCTCAGATTCCCAAAGCATGCTAACTTTACCATTTTCTCCCCCTCTTTCTTCCTAGGGTTAGGGAGAGCAAAGAGGTATCCTGACCTTCTTTTCAACTTTGTGCAGTTAAAATCCACAAGCTGTGGCCCTCTTGGCCCCTTGGCTTCTAACACATCAGACAGAATTCCACCGCAGGCCTGAAAGGTGCTTTTCTCTGTTGTGGAGGGTTTGATCTGGAGTAGGGAATGTGAAGAGGAAGGATGCCATGCTGGGCTTGGTATGCTAATCCCCCCTAATCCAAGCCAGAGCACAGTCATTTTCCAACCATCATTTCCAAATCGTGTAATGTGCGAGGAGTCCCAGGTGCGGCTCCAGGACACATGAGCGTGTAACCTCAGCTCTCAAGAACACAGCCCCTCCATGGGAGACACTCACAGAAGAATGACAGGAATCCTTCACCCTTGCACAGCAAGGGGAAGTTTACAGAACATTTTCACGTGTATTACTCCTGAGACCTCCCATCAAACCCCAGATCTCCCCTTCCACAGGCGGAGGAAGCAAACACACAGAGGTGAAGTGGTGTGCCCCAGGCTCCACAGCTAGAAAATGACAGAACTTAAATTTAAACCAAAGTCTCCTGACTTTAAGTCCAATATTCTTTTTTTTTTTTTTCTTCCAAGGAAGATTAGCCCTGAGCTAACATCTGCCAATCCTCCTCTTTGTTCTGAGGAAGACTGGCCCTGAGCTAACATCCGTGCCCATCTTCCTCCACTTTATATGTGGGACGCCTGCCACAGCATGGCCTGCCAAGCAGCACCATGTCCGCACCCGGGACCCGAACCAGCGAACCCCGGGTCACCAAAGTGGAAAGTGCACACTTAACCACTGCACCACCGGGCAGGCCCAAATCCAATATTCTTTGTGCTCTGTTGCCTCTAAACGTCAGTTCCTTCTCAGGGCATCTTGTTGGGCATCTATATGCACCTATTCACTTGATTGCTTCCTTTCTTTCCAAGAAGCCATCTAATTCCAAGGCCTAAAAATGACGGGTTTTTGTTTTAGCCACAATCCAGACAGATTCCAACAGGAGGCTGTATAACAGTGGTTAACAGTAGAATTTGAGTCAGAAAATTTGGGGTTTGAAACCAGCCTGCCTTTGTCTACATACAGGTTTCCCCTACTATCCGAAAGTTCGCTTTATGCCATTTTGCTTTTAAGAAAGGTCTACGTTAGTACCTGTTTCTGCTAACCACAACAAATTCGAAGAAGTTTTTTGCTTTTAGGAAAAAAGGTAAAAATGGTGTTCAGCGTTTTGTGACAAGCCATCACAGAGAATAAGCAGTCAAGCATACTGTCGTATTTCAAGCCTTGCACATCAGCCACATCAGCTATATCAGCCACAGCAGACAATGAACCTCGACCTTCGACATGGAGGCAGGCAGACACAGAAGAAGGTGCTGACATTAGGGACCTGCCTGCCTTGAGGGATTCAGACAATGATGAGATGTTAACAGAGGACCCCCTTCCTCTCTCTCCTACATGCCAGTCTCCTGTACCTCTCACCACTCCAACCTCTGATGACTTAGCCTAACACACCATCACCACCACCACCACCTCTCAGCCCTCCCGTGTGCTGTCTTCCCCATTCGAGAAAGTGAAACTATACTGCACACACATTATTTTCTACTTTATAGAGGCTGTGTATTTATCATATCATTCCTGATTTTACTATATATTAGTCCTATTTTAGGTTTTACGTTTTGGGTTTTTTAATGAATATATTACCATTTTTTTCTTTTTGAAGATTGGCACCTGAGCTAACAACTGTTGCCAATCTTTTTTTCCCTTCCCAAAGCCCCCCAATACATAGTTGTATATTCTAGTTTTGAGTGCCTCTGGTTGTGCTATGTGGGACATCGCCTCAGCATGGTCTGACAAGAGGTGCCATGTCCATGCCCAGGATCCGAACCAGCGAAACCCTGGGCCACCAAAGCGGGGCATGCGAACTTAACCACTTGGCCATGGGGCTGGACCCCGGTTTTACGTTTTACTTGGTATGATTTGGTAGGTTATTTTTTAGGTCTGGGAATGCTCAAAATTTTTCCCATATAAATTAATAGTAATTGCCTCTTCACTTTAAGGCATTTCCGCTTACAAAAGGTTTCATGGGAACACGATTTTTGGATTTCGGGGGAAACCTGTATATACATATATTCTTCTCATTCAACGGGCCACCATTTAAAAGAACTCCCTTAATGGGAATGCAAACTGGTGCAGCCACTATGGAAAACAGTATGGAGATTCCTCAAAAAATTAAAAATAGAACTACCATATGATCCAGCTATTCCACTACTGGGTATCTATGCAGAGAGCTTGAAGTCAGCAATTCCAAAAGTCCTATGCACCCCAATGTTTATTGCAGCATTATTTATAATCATCAAGATGTGGAAGCAACCTAAGTGCCCATCAACAGATGATTGGATAAAGAAGATGTGGAATATATATACAATGGAATACTACTCAGCCGGAAAAAAGAACAAAATCGTCCCATTTGCAACAACATGGATGGACCTTGAGGGAATTATGTTAAGTGAAATAAGCCAGATAGAGAAGGACAATCTCTGTATGACTCCACTCATATGAGGAATTTAAACCTGTGGACAAAGAGAACAGATTAGTGGCTACTGGGGGAAAGGAGGGGTGGGGGGGGTGGGCACAAAGGGTGAAGGGGTGCACCTACAACACGACTGACAGACAATAATCTACAACTGAAATTTCACAAGATTGTAACCTATTATTAACTCAATAAAAAATTTTTAAAAAAAACTATAAAAATACATAAACTCAGGGGCCGGCCCAGTGGTTAAGTTCGCACGCTCTGCTTTGGTGGTCCGGGGTTTTGCGGGTTCAGATCCTGGGCGCAGACATGGCACCGCACATCAAGCCATGCTGAGGCGGTGTCCCACATGCCACAACTAGAAGGACCCACAACTAAAAATACACAACTTTGTACCAGGGGGCTTTGGGGAAAAAAGGAAAAATAAAATCTTTAAAAAAAATAAAAGAACTCCCTTAAACTACTCCTAAGACGTGAACATCCTTCCTGATTTTAAGAGTATGTTCCCTGTTCCAACAAAAATGAAGAATCCACCGCAGCCTTAGACAACTCGCAAAACCAGGAAAGCCGTCCTTAAATCTAAGCAAATCCACCCCATCCCCACCCTGGCCAGCAATGCAAGGCTCCTTTCCCGATATTTTGTCCTCAATATACATGGCAGAATCTCAAGGTCAAAAGAGGGTCTCTTTTAGGGTCTCTCACATTTGAGGGGAACATTGACAAACTATGACAAACTATTTTAGTTCAAGTTTAGCTCCCTCCCAGCTTGCCCCACTTGCCTCTACTCTGTGGAAAAGGCAGCAAGATGAAGCACCAGAACAGAAAGAATTGTTATCCCCAGGTCCACAAAAAGCCCCACAACAAAGCACCACAGGGATAAGCACATCCAGTCATTGCTCCCAGAAGAGAAATCCTGGAAGGCTTAGCATGCTCATCTTCTGTAAACCTGGCCCAGCTCCTCAGCGTCCCCTCAAAGACACATGGCCCACCCTGTTCTTAGGCCTTTGTCCCTACTGTTCTCCTTTCCTGATCTCACGCCCACGACCTCGTATTTTTCCTGTTATTTCCTACCACCTATCTGTATTCATCATGGTTTCAGCGTCTTCCTTCTGGAAGGCTTCCTCCTCTCTCTTCTTGCATGTGGCACACACAGCATATGTCTTCAATGCTTCTATCGCAATATGAGTGAAACTCATATCTTAATTTCATATGCAAGTCTCCTCCCCCCCTCCTCCTTAACTTCCACATCCCCTCCTTCTACTCAGCCCTCCTCCTCTCCCTCCACAACCATATCACCATTAGCTGGTGCCACTCTGAGCTCATAAGAATATTCAGTAAATACCTGTTGAATTGAAATGAATGAAACTGAATAGATTGGGAGGAGGAGGCCTGGGGAAGGTGGCCAATCGCTCAGTTGCCCCACACAAGAGCACAAACCACCATTGTGACACAGGGCCCTAGAGTCTAAAAGTAAATGAGTAGGGCTCATGGTATCAACGAAGAGTGGAAATTCCACGCCAGCTCCACCAGACCACGGGTTTAGCTCAAACACAACTCCTGGCCAAGGCTGCATGAAGCTGCACTATGGTTTTCTATACCAAGTTGTAAGGTAAGCGAACTTGCCCCACTACTCAGACCACCACATTTACCCAGGCAAAAAAGTAGCTGGCACAAACCACAGTGGTGTGGACCAGGCCTAGACGTCGAAACAATCTCTGTGGTAGGAACTATGACTCACTTAACACCAATACTCTGCCAGCTCCTCTACCGGTGTGGGCCAATAAAGGCAACCTGATGTAGCCAAAAATAAAGTTATAAAAATTGAAATGGAGTTCACAAACATAAGTCTAAGTGCAGGACCCACTTAACCTCTCTCATCTTCTGCTATCTCCATCTGTTAAATGGGAATAATAGCAGTACCTACCTCAAAAACTTTTTGTAAAGATTAAATTTGGAAATAGATGGTGAGGCGCTCACCCTAATGACCCGCACATGATAAGGGCTGGATAAATATTAGTTGTTGTGGCTTTTATTATTCATTCTGCTGTGAGGATGGAAAGAGATGGAATGCAGCGTGAAGCCCCATGTAAACGTGTTACATAATATAAAGTCACTGGTCCCTAGCGCTGGGTCTGGGAGACGGGTGACGCGAGGGGAAGCTCAAGTACCACCAGCCCTGGTGCGGGGCGCCGTGCTCGAAGCCGACTCTGCTAGAGGGCTCCTGCATTCCTCGCCGAAGTTTCCGCTAGGATGCCCTGGGGCCCCGGACGCCTCTAGGGAAGAGGAGGAGGAAAGGGGAACAAGGCAGGAGGCGGAAGAGGGACGTACCTGCTTTCACTGCACTCCTTCCGCTCCCTCACCCTCAGCCACTTGCGGAGGAGGAAGCGTTTTCGGCGCGGGGAAGCGCTGGGTGTGGAGCAATTGGACCACGGGGTGTCCTCGTCGCTGGAGGGCGTGATCTCGATAGACGGCAGCTGCAGAAACTCCTTGCCAGGGGCCAGGACGCCGGGCAGGTCCTGGGCCAGCCCGGCCTCCAGGCTCTGCTCCTGCACGTTCCTCATGCGGCGCATCTTGAAGCGCCGGCGGCGGAGCGTGGGGGTCGACGAGCTGGACCAGACCGGGCTGCCCTCGGGCGCGCCCTGCGGCTCGGGCACCTGCAGGGCGGGCAGCTGGAGGTTCTCCATCATGTTGGCCGCCGGCATGGGTCCCCGTCGCCTCTGCGCTTCTTCGGCGCCCTCCGCCTGCCGTCCCGCTCCCGCCTGCCGCGTCCTGCTCCCCACCCCTCGGCCGCCGCGCGCTCGGCCCTCTCACGTTGGGAAACGCTCGCCGCTCGAGCTGCAGGAAGAGCGAGTCCCTCTCCCGGGGCGCCGCGAGCAGGGGGCGCGAGGGGGCGCGGTGGGGCGCGCGGCCGTCCGAGGCTAACTTTTGCGCGCGCCGGTCCCCCCGGCCGGCCACGGCGCTCGCCCTGTCCGCCGCCGGAGAGGCGCCCCGCGCGCGCCCGGAGCCGCCTGCCAGCCACCCGGCCGCCCTGCTGGGGCTCCCCTCGTGCGCCCGCTTGTCTCCTTCCGCGGCTCTCCCTCGCTCGCTTGCGTCTTTGCCTTAGCGGGACTCGGCAGCCCGGGGCCCCAGGGGGCAGCTCCACACACTCAGCGGTTTGCGTTCGGCAGGGCAGGTTGGGGAGCCGGCTTGGCGCTGCAGGGAGGCAGAGAGCAGGAGGAAGAGGCAGAGGTAGGAGGGAGAAGGAAAGAGAAAGAGAGGAAGCGAGACACTGGATAAAAACAAAAAAGGAGGAGGAGCAGGGGGCTAGGAGGAGGGTGAAGGGAGGTCATTTCTGTTAAGAAAGGGCATGCACAGGCAGCGACAGCTAGTGTAACTGTACGTGGAATCCCTTGGGGAGGGACTCTACCTCGGAGTAAGGGCTGCTCCAATCAGCCTAATGAAACAGGATCACAAACCAAACTTTCTCAAAGCGACGATTGGCCAGGCAGCGCTCATTAATCCAACTCCCTGCTTTATCTTGGGGGGAGGGGGCGGGGAAGGGAGGAGTCAAGGAATTAATTCAGTCCTCACTCTCCAAGGCCATCCTATATACGGGGTTGTCCGAAAACTAGGGGACTTTTCAGCTGCATCTCTTCTCCTAAGAAAGGTGTCTTCTCAGAATTATTTGGGGTACAGGTGGGGACACAGGAAGCCTGGGCATAATGAAAGGGAGACAGCAAAGTTCCTGGAGGCTGCTTCCAAAATGACAAGCTGAGAAGAGAGGACAGTTCTCCTGTGGAATGAGCTGAGACGGCAGACATGACATACCAGGGAAGGACAGACAACAGGATCTGAGAGACACAGGACACAGAGAAGTAAGGAAAAGGGACTGCTCCCTGTACATCTTGAGCCACCCTGTCAATACCATAGCCCCATCCCAAGCAAAGTAGGAAATTGGGGAGGATGAGCACCCAGGAAGCAAAGCATCCAGCAAAGCCCCAGGGAGCTGAGGGTATTCCCTTTACATTCCCGGGAATGACTTGAGTTCTGCTTCGACCTGCAAGAGGCATAGACTGGGTCACAAAAAGTCTAGTATGTCCCCAGGACATGGAACCTAGAAAGTCTGGATCAGTCCTGTAGTGTCCCGAGCTATGCTGACCCACTCACTCCCTAGACTCAGGTACCACCCGGAGAGATTGGCCCTAGAACTGATCCACCTTACTGAGGCACTGTGTGGGGACTGAGTCGAGAGCAGCCCTGCTTCTAGAGCAGAGGCTCTATCGCCCATCCCCCCTCCCAGCCCAGTGCATTTGCCTCTCCAGTAAGTCCTGCATATAAGAACCAAAGTAGAGATGGTAGCTTTCAAATAGACCAGGAGGAGCACAAAAAGAAGCACCATTAAGTCCACAATGCACTCCACCTATTCTCTGCCCCTCTCTGTGAGCCCAGTTTCCAGTAGGGAGCCAATGCCGCTTCTGTGCCAGGAGGAAGGTCATGGGAACATTTCACAAGTGTCCCAAAGCTGAGGAAAAATCACATTCCTGAAGACCACAAGAACTCATTGCAAGAAAATATGTCCCTATGGTTCAGCAAGACATCAAATGCGACAGTTGGCCATGGGTGCATCAGGCCTTGTAATGACGCATGGAGGGCAACTCAAGATATTGCGACCTTGAACAACCTCCAAGAGGCCGGGAAACTGAGTATGTTTTGCTTATGGAGAGAAATACTGTGGCCAAGAAAGCCAAGGCCAGACCCACTGTCAATGACTCCCCAGAACAGCGGTGCCGACTGATTTCTGACTCTTCCACATCCGGCCACTGGCTCTCTCAAGGGTGGTTTGGTATCACTCTATTTTAACTCCCAGACGTGGCACGGAAAGGAAGAACCCCTTCCCAGAAGGTGTCAAGCCTGGCAAGGAGAAGGACACTTCTTCCGGCTCCGGGAATGCTGAGGAGGCTGGGCTGTATGTAACTCCAAACTTCAGGATCCGGAGCTAAGCCAAGGCACACAGAGTGGCTCACTGCCTTGGATTGCCTCCAAGGAGCGCTTGGCAGGGGAGCTGATAAGTTCTCAGTTCAAGGAAGTTGCCCTGTGTAGGGGGTCTCAGGCGTTTAAGAGGCGAAGGGAAGCTAGGACACTACCGTTCACTTGGAAGCCAAGAAAAACCCCAAAACACACAAAAACCCAGTAGGTTCCACAATAAGGGGCCAAAATATTCAAAGGGTATTTTGGGAAAGGGAGATTCACAAGGGGAGCAGCCCCTTGAAGTTTACCATGGGCACTCTGCATTTAAATGTAAGCCTCTTAAAAGGAAAAAAAGCCACCAGCTCCCTCTTCCCACACTTTTTCCACCCACAATAGATTCCGGACCTAAAATCTAAAATCGTATAAGACTTAATTTAAGCCTTGGGCTCAGCAGTAGTTGAGAAGGATCATTTACATTTCACCTGGCCTGAGGGAAAACCTCAGTCAAAGTAAATGTGAGCTGGCTTCACTTGGCTGGGAAGCAGACACCCAGAGTCCCTCAAGGCCCCTGCACTGTTCTTGCTCACTTCCCCCAGGCAGGCCCTTCTTTCCCTCAAGGCTTAACTTTTTCATCCGTTAAAACCTGATTCAAAACACATCCCCTGTCCCCCGACCCAGCTGTTTCTGTTTGCTTCTTATGATGCACTATCAAGTAAGATGATGAATGGGACACTACTTCGAAAACGAAATGCCCTACAGTTACAAGCCATCATTACTCTTAAGGCTGTAAGTGTGGTGAGAGAAGAACCTTTGATTCCATCCAGTGTCCTGTGTGTTTTGTTAGGATAGTTACCTTTACACTTTTGTAAAGGGCTTTCATAGACAGTATTTTATCTTCCCAGTGACCCTAGGAGTTTGGGAGAACAGATGTTATTATCCTCATTTTACAACTGATTAAAGTGAGACACAGAAAGACTCAGTAATTTATCCAAGCTCATAGATAAATAATAAATATTCAATGACAAAGCCAGAACTTGAACCCAGGTCTTCTGAAGCCAGTTAGAGACCACCAAAATCTCATCAAGTGCTTCAGCTCTGGAAAGCAGGTCCCTGATAGCATCAGAATTTTCCAGCCCTGAAATAACATGTAGCTATTCAATTCCATCAGTTATTTTACAAGTGCAGAAATGGAAGCACAAAGTTCTGAAAAACAATTTCCCAAAGCAGCTGATGTCAGGGAGTCAGGACCAAAGAGTTTCCACAACCCACTTCGGGATCTCAGCCACTGCATTCCTCTCAAAGTCTCCCCTCCCCACTTCTCTCCCATACTTGACTCTCAGCAGACTCTGGCCCTCCAGACAGGTGGTGGCCAGAACAACCTGGCCGCCCCTTCCTCCACCCCGCAGCCAGCCCTCTGACTTTAAATGAAAGGAGCTCATATTACCAAGCAACTGTTGTTTATCCTCAGCTGTTCAGGCTCCCTTTTCCTACAGACACAAGACACCCAACACCTGTCTATTACTTCTGGAGGCCCACAAACTATATAGTCCATTATTCAGCCGAAACTTCCAGGAGAGAACTTAAGTGAAAAACAGCAGCTGTGAGGCTAGATGGTGCCTGGGTGGCATCCAAGTGAGTGTGAGGTGGAAAGGGCAGGCCCCC